ACTGGACCGGGCGGAGCCGGGTATGCCAGCTAGTTATAAATAATACTGCAAACCAAGTACCTTTACAACTACTTATAAGCTAATTTCTATACATTTCAATTCAGAGCGGGCCTTCTCACTGCTCTCACAGCATTCTACAGTTTATTCCTTACGATATTCGCCTTAGTGCTAGAGCTCTCCCATTTACTATCTGGCGAAGAACTTAGAGAAGTCAATCTGAAAGATATGGTAAGCTTATTCTACTATTTTTTCCTCTAGATGTAAGATTTTTGATTTTTGCTTTCAGATTTTTGGTGCTTATATGTACGGAGTTTCCATCCTCTTCTTTATTTACATGTATGTTGTGTTGTTGCTCAATCCACGTTGGTACTGGACTATCAATTTTTTAGAGGTAAGCGGGCCGCCGATCTTTTTTCTTGAGAAAAAAAGGAATCGTTGCTTTAGGCACATGAGTTATACGCACTGTTTTACCAAGTAATATTATTTTATGACTATTTTGAAAAATTTAGAGATACGTCAAAAGCACTGATTCGAGCAAATCTTCTATGTCATCTGCAGTAGCAACAGTGCGAAGGGTCACTCATTGCGGTTCCTCTGCTGGAAGTCTTTTTTTACGATTAGGATGTGTTGGTGGGTCCCTCCAAATCGGACGTTTTTTCTTTCATGTGTTTTTTCAGCATTCGGCGTCACGGGAGTGGTATATTACGCATTTCTAGTTTTTCTTTGCACAGCAGATCGTGCTTGTACAGCCTTCGCAACCACGCTCGATATTTGTGCTGTAGTTTTTATATTCATTCAGATGCACTTTATCTTCTGCAATTCTAAGGTCCTACATTTACCAGATTTTTTCGTAAGATTCGTAATCGCATCCAGACGTAACATATTCTAGCTATCAATTACTGGTCACCACACAGCTGCTCGATTTGGCACAATGCATCTTATAGCAGCAAATCTGTGGACATGGATTAGATATGTTCTTATGGAAGAGGGCGTAATGGAAAGAGAGATAAGGTGAAAACATTTGATATCCCTATCTCATTTGTCAAACAAACAAAAAA